ACCTGCCGACCGCGCCCGAGGTCCCTCTGCGCCGCCGACTCAAAAGTGTGTGCGTGTGTGCTTGTTCTTTTTGTTCGCGCGACGATCCAGGATGCTCCTCGATAATCCTCGCCGAAAAAGGAGGCACACGTCCGAACGATGCCAAGCCAGGGTGCCCTCAGCTTCTCCAGCTCCAGTGTCAGAGCCTCTGGGGCCCTCTGGGCCTCGTAAAGGGGTGCTCTGGAAGCCACCTGGGCGACGCGAAAAAACGGGCTTTACGCGAGATGGCGCAGCGACCTTGCGCGGTGGCTTACGCGGGCCGCCAGCGCGGAACGCTCGATTGGAGGCGAGGGCGCTCATGCGCGACCTTACGCGGGCAACTTGCGCATCAGCGTCGGCGCGGACAAATCCGTTTCCTGGCGTCGCTGAGCTGGGCCTTCCAACACGAGCGCCGTACGGATCCCCGGCCCAGAAGGCCGTGGACGCGGATGTGCTCTTCGCCCACGACTCGCGAGAGGTGCTCCGGAAGACAGCTGAGCCTTCCGGGACGCCATGGGACACTCCAGTTGAAGGCTTGGAACTGGGCACCATCACCAACACAGGGGGGGGCCTCTGCCAGGGGAAGATGATGATCCTACATGTCGGCGCTGGTGGGAGACGTTCGGCCACGTCACCCAGGAACCCGAATCTCATCGCCATCGCGTGGAGGCACACCGTCGATGTTGGTGTTGGTATCAACATCCAGGCCTCCGAGTTCTGGGCCAGGGACACGTCTGCCAGCACTCAAGCAGGGCGGAAAAGCGGGGATGCATGGGTCGACTTGTGTGCCCTTTTTTCATGAGCGCATCGGCGGGGGCGGCCCCGACGCTCGCAGGGGCCACACAGGGCCTCCGCGGGCACACGAGGAGGCGCCGAGAACCCGTTCGCGCTCTGCTGGTTGCGCGACTGTCGCCCCCCAGCCCATGCTGGACATGCGTAGTTGTCAACTCTCCCTCGCCATGTGGTTCATTCTGAGCAGCGTCTATACGACCTCAGAGCGGGGGAAGGGTGGCTGACACAAAAACCGTGCCCCGATGCATGGCCGCCGCGATCGCCGCGGCGACCGCCAAACCGACCCGGCGGTTTGGTACGGGGCCCGATATTACGCAAGGAACTGCGGAGAGGTACGCCGTAGAACTGTCGAGAATGGCCCTCCCACTTCGAACATCAGGACGAACTGGCTGACAGAAGGCCCAAGGGTACTCAAAATGGATGCGGGCCGGGAAGACGATAGGAGGGCGCACTTCTGCATTCTTCTCCTCGCCTGCGAGAAGGGCTTCGCCACGAGGCCCCCACAAGCTAGCTCCAGCGTCCTGCAGTAGGACAGGATGGAAGACGGGTTGAGGGTCCCGACGGGGGGACTGACATTAACACCCCCCCTTCTTTGACCAGTGGCAAGATTCAGTGCAACCCATCGCAGCCTGGCACGCGACCGTCACTCGGCATGGCGATGCCCTCTGAGGCTGTTTTTGTTCGTGCTCATGTGCGTTTTTGTATTCAGTTTCTCTCCCTCTTTCTCTCTCTCTTTCCCCCTTCTTCGATCGATAGCCTCCAAAATGGCCCCAAGAGGTCCCCCGAAGCCATCAAGAAGGCCCCGAGAAAACCCCAACACGGGCCACACAGCCCCGAAGACCTGCGGCATGGCCCCAGTACGCAGGGGCTCGCGATGGCCCCGAGATGCCTCCAAGAGGCTCACAGAGCGTGACTGCATGCTGCTATATATATATATATATATATATATATATATATATATATATATCCCTGATCAGGGCAACTCGCCTGGCAATTCTTTTTGGTTGAGCTGATGGGGATACGCGAAAAACTACTCTCTAGAGCTTCAAAAGCAGCCCGGGAAGGCCAACTCAGCCGCCAAGATGGCGGAACATGGCCTCAAGAGGCACCCTACAACCTGGCAAAAACCCTAGAGACAACGCTTCAAAGCTACCGGGGGAAGGGCCGTAGACCTAAATCTGACGAAGTCCTTCGATGTGTCATGTTTTTGTTGTCCTAGCCTTTTCGGTTCCATCTGGTTCCAAGAGCGCCTCGGAGAAGGGAGAGATAAATCAAAAGAGTAGAATGAAGGCCCAGGCCCGACAAGGCCCAAAGGCAACCTCGACCCTGTCGGCGTGTGTGAGGGGCTTGTCCGTTCAAGTCGTCATCTCCGTCATTCGTTGGTCGTCGTCTCTGTCGTCCCCTTTCCCTGCCTCCCCCCTTTCCCTGGGCCCGTCGAAGCTCCCCCCTTCCCCAGGGACCTCCTCAGCGAGCCAGCCAAAGCAAAGTTGAGCAACGTCGTAATTGAGTCGAAGGGAAGCCCCTTCCCTTCGATCCCTCCCCCGCCGGGGGGGGGGGGCGTCCCAGGGGGGGGGGTCAGATACGACGCCCCCCCTGGGAGTCCCGGAACCCAAAAAAGCCCCAAGACGGGCCAAGTGCCCCAAGAGGCCCCAAAGACAGTCCAAGAGAACCCCGAATCGCCGAACGATCTGTCCAACACGCCTTGACGGCCTCCAGACGGCCCAAGAGGCCTGCAGGAGTTTTCCCACGAGAGCCCAAAAGGCCAAATTCATAGATTTCCCATACGTTTTTGGAAGATTTTGGCGTGCTTGCCTCGTCCGCTTCCCGACTCGCCAAGACGGCCCAAGAGGCCCCCAAGATCGCCCCGAGACGGCCCAAGAGGCCCCCAAGAGGGTCCCCTAACGGCCGAAGAGGGCCCCAAGACAGCCCATGACGCCTCCAAGACGGCCCATGAGGCCCCCAAGACGGCTCCAGGAGAGTGCCCAGACGGGGGACCCGAACGGACATTTCGAGCTCTCAGCCCCAAGAGGCCCCCAAGAGGCCCCGAAGAAGCCCCAAGAGGCCCCAAGAGGCTCCCAAGAGGCCCCCAAACTGCCCCAAGACAGCCCAGGAGAGCCTCAAATTGCCCAGGCGGCCTCCAAGAGTGCCTCGAGACAGCGCAAGAGGAGCCCTGGACGGCCCAAGACGGCCTCAAGGGAACCCCAGGCTGTCCCAAGAAAGCCTCTGGCCTCCTCCTCTTCCTTCTCCTCCTCCTCCCCCCCCTCTGCTCCCCCTCCTCCTGTTCTCCTCTGCCTCTTTCTCCTCCTCTTGTTTTTCCTCCACATCCTTCTCCCCCCTCTTCCTCCCTCATCCACCTCCTCCACCCTTCCTCCACCTACCAATCATCCTCCTCCCCCTGCCCGCCCCTCGTTTTCATCTTCGTTGCTCTCAGGGTCGGCGGCACCGGCCGTAAGGCTTTCGCAATCAAAAGAATAGAATGAGGGCCCAGGCCCGACAACCCAAAGGCAACCTAAGAGGGACCCAGGACGTCCCCAATCCCCAGAGGGCCACAAGAGGCGTCCGAGGCAACCCCAAACGGCCGAGAGGAGCCCAACGTTGCCCCAACATCGCTCAAGAGAGCACCAAGAAGACCCAAGAGAGTCCCAAGAGGGACCCATGAGGGCCCCGCGGCGGCCCAAGATAACCCAGGCAGCCCCCATTGGTGCCTCAAGGAATAGAGACGAGACGTGCCACATGGCAGGGCCTTCCGGCTGGTGCCCGAAGCGTCGCCACATTCTATGGTGCGTTGGCTCTGCGGCAGGATTCACCGCAACTGGCTGGATGACTTATACACGCGCAATCCCAATGGAGGATCGATAGTGGTCGGTCTGACTGCAACCATGCCTAAAACGTTGCATGGTGCTTCTCGATCTGTTCGAGCACTTTACGGTTTTGAACAAGCAACGTCCCTCCCGCTTGGAGCGCGATGTCGCTTTCCATGAGAATGTAATCGATATCCTCGCGGTTCACTCGCAGGCGAGGCCCCCGCCCGAGACTTCCTCGATATTCAGGTTTCCGGGCGTCACCGAACCTGCGCTTCACATGTTTCGCCGATGGCCACTTCGGATTGGCAACGCGAGGCGCGGGCCCCATAGAGAGAGCGGATCCCGCTTGAGACGGCATCACAATTCAGTCGCACTGGCGACTGATGGTGATGGTGATGATGATGCTGGTCTTGATGATGCTCGTGTGATTATGACGACGATGAGGATGATGCGGATAATGCTGATGGTGGCGATGCTGATGGCGGTGATGATGCGAGTGATGTTGATGAGGCTCGTGGCGAAGATGATGATGGTGGGTGGGTGATTGACTCATTAAATGAATCACCCTCTCCCTTTCGTCTCCCTTCACAGCCCTGTTTCTCTCAACTGGGCGAGTTCAATGCATGTATTCTCCCCGCGGGTGCTTGCTCTTATCGACGCGACGCATTCATAGCGCTTACTATCGGTAACTGTCCGGCTGGGCCCTTCTCAGCTGAGCCTGCTCGGCCAAAGCTTCGATCGCCGCGCGATTCCTTCATCGCGCGACTTCTTCTCCGAGCGGGGGGCGGGGGGGGGCGAAGAGAGGGGCGCGGGCAGAGATGTCCGCGGAAAAAGGGGCAAAGAGAGGGGGGAAAGTAGACTGCGCATAGGGCGCCTCTTCCAGGTCGAACTGGGCAAATTCACTGCGCGTCTTCTTCCCATGGCTGCTTGCTCCTATCGCCGCTCGTACTTCCGCCAAGCGCAGAACTCGAACGACCAGAAAACGGCCCGTGCCCGGACGAATCCCAAGCGCTCAGCGTTCTCTACCTTGCCCCTGGAAGGGCCGTCTGTCACATTCGATGGCAAAGGCGCCTGGTCGAACAAGAGATGCGCGCGCTGCTCCGGCGCCAGGGCCCGCGCTGTCCCCGCGAGCCTCGTCGGGGCAGGCGCGCCCGCATGGCCGTTGACCTCGGCTGCTCTCGCTGCGTCGTCGTCCACGAAGGCAATCGCCCGCCGTCCGCGCGCGGCCGCTCTCCTCGGCGCCAGCGCGACGGCCGCGGGCGGCCCGCCACCTGCGGGCTGAAGGAGCTGGATGCACTCCGAGACAGCGCCCCTGTCGCCCAGCACCGCGCCGCCCTCGGCCACGGCCTGCTTCTCTGATCCGTCGACCCAGAGCAGCGCGGGAGGGCTGCGGCAACGCGAGCGCCGCCTCGCGTTGGACCAGCGGCGCGCCATCGACCCTTTCGGGGGGGGCCCGCGCTGCGGCCGACAGCGGCTGAAGCGCGGCCGCTCAACGCCAGCCGAGGCGCTGGGCCCCGGAATAAAGGAAGGACCGCGAGAAGCTGCGTCAGGACAGGCTGGTTCACCCATACTCCACCCGCCAGCACGCAAGCCTGCTCCGAGGCTCTCATGGCCCTCTCCAGCTCGTTCGAAGTCATCAAATCGGCGCCCGCAGCGCTGCTGAGATCGAACGCCGCGCCGAGAGCGGAGAACGATGAGCGCGGAAGGCAACCTGCGGCGCCCCGTCTCGACCCCCAGCCCCACGGCTGCATCACCCCCGCGGCAATTGCGGCGCTGTCAGCGTTTGCCTCCGGCTTCAGCTGCGGGAAGTCGCCTGCGCACTGCGCGAGAACCAACAGAAAAAGCTCCGACAAGATCATCTCGATCGCCCTCGCGACTGCCCCGAAGACGTAGAACGCGCCCCTCGCCTCGACAGGAATTGCGCGCAAGACGCAGCGGGCGACGCCATTGCGAGCTAGGCAACTGCAGGGCGCCGCCGCCAGGAGCGGCGACGGGGGCGGCAGAGGCGCCAGCTGCTTGAATACCGGCGTCAGGTCGAGCGCCCTCCCCCGCAAGTTGCGGGACGCTTTCGAGGCGAAGCCTCTGTGGTGACGACCGCGTTGCGCTTTCCCCGTGATCAGCTCGACCTGGTCGTTTCCTGCGATAGAGGCGGCAGTGCCCTGAGGGCGGGCTACCGCGCCACCTGGCCAACGCCGCCCGAATCGATGCACTCGCTGGCGCGGGGCGTCGGACCCTGGCCGAACTCGCCGCGGCCGTCGACAGGGCGCGCTCCGAGACACTGCGCTTAGCTGAATTTCCTTGACCCGGCCCGTGCCTTCCCCTAGCCCCGGTCGACCTCCTCCTCCTCGCAGAACGGGCCGAGGGCCTTGCCCGCGCAACTTCCCCCCTCCGCGCGCTCGACCGCCACCTCGGCCACGTCGGGGGCGCCTGGTCTCGCAGTGTCCTGGAGGCGTTGTCTGGCCCGCATCGGCGCCCCCAGGATCCCTCCGAGGGGCCCCCCCGCTGGGCGCCCGCGCTTCTCGAAGGCCCCCGACGCCGGCACCTCGCCGAAAACGCTCTTACCCTCGAGGGTTGGAGAAGCCAGCTGCAGCCGCCATCTCCTCGAGCAGCAAAGAGCGCTTCCCCGGCCACCGGCGGAACTCCAGCGCCCGGGGCCAGCGCGCCCCCCCAGCGCGCTTGCACTGCCGGGCGGGCGCGCCCGAAAAGCTATTTCTCCTGCCCCTCAAGCTCTGCGGCCCGTCGGCACCGCGACGCGAGCGCCGCCCCTCCTATTGCGGACCTCGTCGGGGCCCTGCGCGAGGACTTCGAAGATAGCTCTTTTGCCCCTGTCTGGGAGTGCCGGCGGTTGCTCGCAGGGGCGCTTCAACTTGGGGCCTCCTCGACGAACTCTTCCTATGTCAAGTGCTAGCCTATCTGCGCAGTGACTCGTCGCCCCTGCCCCCCTTCTCCAGAGCCGGAAGGACGAGCGCAACCGTATCCAGCTGGACCGTCGCGACCGCGGCGCCCTTGGCCAAGGTCGCCTCGGCCTTGACCCCGCCCCCGCATGCTCCAGAGCCCCGCGGACGACTCGGGAGCACTTGACCGCGCGCGCGTCTCGGGATGAGCTGCGGGTACTTCGTGCCTCTGGGCTGCCTGCCCACGCCCCCCGCGGCCGCAAGCCCCCGCCTGCCGCTTCGGCTTCTTGGCTGCGGCCAGAGCTGATGCCGCCAACGGCATGGACCATGAGCTCGGGGCACCTTCTCGCGGGACGGCCACGACGTCGCCTGTCGCCAGCCGGCGCGCCTCCACGAAGCCGGCGACGACCTCGTGGCAGAATCTGTCTCGGCACCACGACTCCTCCGCAGTCGCGGGCCCCCCCTGCCTCCGCCGCGGCGCGCGGGGGCGGCCAGAGTCGCGCCAGCGGTTAGGCAACCTCCTCACGCACGCAGCCGCGCCCCGAAAACGCACTGCTTTGGGCCTTAGGCCTCCAACCATGCAGGCGTGGAACTCGGCGTCGGCCACCCCGGCACGGCCTGGCAGGCCGACGAACCCCTGCATGTGCAGCGGCAGGCTTTTCGATGGGTTTTCTACGACCAACTGGGCGCCCAGGTTCTCGCAACGCTCGACGACGCTCAGGGCGAACGTGAAATCACTGCGAGCTCGCTTGCAGCTTCTCTTGCAACTCGACGTCGGCCCTGCCCCGGGGCTCCTCAGGGGAGCGGAGGGGCTGCGGGAGACCAGGGATGTCCTGGATGTCTCGGGCGCAAGTTGCGGCGCCGCGCGGGAGGCTGAACCGCGCCAGTCTCAGGGTCTGCGCGCTTCCCAACAACTGCAAGAAAGCTGACTGCTCTTCATTCGTGGTCAGATCAAGCTGGACCCGCGGCCCCCGTGCCTCGCGCGGAGTGCCCGTCCATTCAACCTCGAGTGCCGCGGCGCCCTCTGACGAGAACGCCGCCGTAAGCCTGGCACTCCCGCAGCACATCTCGACTTCGGGCCACCGACCTCCCTCTCTGATCTGGCCTCGCCGTCCCTCGGCGCACCCAGGCTGGCCGCCGCGGGGGCGGCCTCGCCTTCAGCCTCCCCGCCGAGCACTCACTGCCCGTTCGGGCGGCTGGAAGCGCAGCTGTGGGTGCCACCCCACGACTTGCGGCAGCGGACGTGCCGGCCCTTCGGCACCCCCCGCCTGGCGGAGCCTCGTCGCACATGTTCAATTTGTGCCCGAAGCGGACCGGAATGCCCACGTCGTCGGAGGCCGAGTTCCCGGGGTGCCGGAATTGCAGCTGCAAGGCCGGGCCACTCTCTTGCCTCCGCCGTTGCCGGGCTGGCTGCCGCCGGAGCCTGCTGCCGGAACTCCTGGCATCTGACCCTGTGGCCTCTGCGGCGCTGTCTGCTGCTGTTGCTGCTGCTGCTGCTCGAAGCGAGCACTCTTGCTCGCCCTCCTCCTGTGTCCCTTGTTCGGCTGAACGGGAAGCTGGCCAATGGCGCCCTCGCCGGCAGGGGCAGGCGGTCCCCGCTTGGCCCCGGCGCGGGCCGCCTGGCGCGTCCCGTGCGGAACCCTCGTGCTTCCGCACATCCGAGATGATGCTGTCCAGTGGGCGAACGCCAATCTTCCTCCGGATGCCTTCCCTGGCCAACCGGCTGAAGAGCGCGAAAGCCGCTTCGTCCGCCCGCCTGACCTGGGTGAGGGACGTCTTGGCGTAGACGGTCGGCGGGACCCGAAGGTCTGGTGACATGAGGGTTTCCCGACGCTTCTCGTGCTCCTCAAACTCCACGAGGCCACCCATTGCCATGATCAAGCCGCGGCGCTTGAGAGCGTAGTCCAGCAGGAGGCCCGTAGAGATGTCAGCAGACTTTGCCGACGACGCCTCGGAGACCTGCTTCATGAAGCCCGTGGCCAGGTCCCTTTTCCAGTTCTCGTCCTGCTTGATACAGGCGGTCACGGCGCGTACCGCAGGCGGTCCGTGCCGCAAATGCCCGTGAAGAGCATGAAGAGGCCGTCGCCCACGTCGAGCTCGCCCTCTAAATGGAGGTTCCCCAAGACGGTTCGCGACCTGATCCCGGCAGGCCTGCAGCTCAAGTGGCCCAAGATTCCTCGTGGAGTCGCTGTCGGCCGCGTCTGTGTGCTTGCGCATGTCGCTCGTGGCCACGCTCTACGACTCCCACTGAAGCGCCCCAGCGATGGGACCAATTCCTCTTGGCCTCCGCTCAACGGCTTGAGCAGCTGCTCGTTCAGCAGCGTCGGGTTTGCACCTGTGGGTTGTAGACGGTCCCGAACCCAACGCCGGTGTACGTCTTGATGTTCGTCGCTGTCATGGTCGGGATACAGTCCTCCAAGCAGCCCTCCACCACACGCGCGACGAAGACTTCCTCGCGTTCGCTTGCCAATGGGGCCCGCAGAAAAACAGACGAGTACCTGTTGGAGTGGATCCGACTGCACTTTGAGCCGCAACGCCTACGGACGGCTACGGGTCGACGGTCGACTGGGGCATGGGGGGGGCACGAGACAGTCAGCCTGGAAATGCGAAACAACAAGCGTGCGGGCCCATCCTCTATCGCTCGCTTCCGTCGACTGCATCGCTCAACGACCACAGCAAGCAGACCTGACCCCACAGGCCTCAAGGCTCCACGAAAACCCCAAAACACTAAAATCTCCGCACGTCCGCGCCGCCCAAGCAGAAGGCCAGGCAACCCAGGCCGCGAGGCGCGAAGAACCCCCGCGCACTAGGGACGAGGCGCGAGCCCAGTGGAGCCATGGACCGACGAAACCAAGATCTGAGGCCTGCGTACGCCCCAGTCTCCAAGCACGGGCCTTCCATTCAACAAGCTGCGCCTTAAGCGCTCCCCCGCCCTGAATGCGACGCCGGCTGTGCATCTATAAACGCTACGCCCCCGCAAAGGCGCCGTCAAGCTCGAAGGCGACGACGACCAACTCCTCCGCACCCGCATTTCTGCGGGGGCGCCGCCCAGCCCGGAGGCGACGACAGCCTCGGCGACCACCGGATGCAACGTGCCGTCCGGCCCGGAGGCCACGGCGACCGAGCCGTCAAGCCCAGAGGCGACGACGCCCAAACCGTCCAGCCCGAAAACAACGTCTGCCAACTGTCACACGCACACAGCACGATAGAGGTGGCGCCGCCCAGCCATAGAGGTGGCGCCGTCCAGCCTGGAGTCGACGACAACCACCATTTCGACTGCGCTCCTGCGGAGGCGCCGCCCAGCCTGAAAGCGACGACAGCCGCGTCGTCCAGCCCTGGAGGCGACGGCCCACGACACTGCGGCGCCGTCCAGCCCCAAGACGACGACAGCCAGCGCAAGCGCCGTCCAACCCGAAGGCGCCGACTGCCAATACTGCCCCTCGCAGTCCGCGGAGGCGCCGCCCAGCCCTCAGACGACGACAACCCAAAGGCGACGACGGCAACGGCTACTGAGGAGTTACCTGCCCACTGACGTCCAGCCCGCCAGCGACGACGGCCCACGGAACCCACCTCCCTCACCGCGAAGGCGCGCCCAGCCCGAAGGCGACGACTAGCCTCCACCAGCGCCTCCACCAGCACCAACCCCCATGTACACCACTCGACCTAGGAAGCGGCAGAAGAGACCAGGTGGCAACTGAAGGGAGGAGGGGGGGAACGAAGGCAACTCCGCCACCTCTTCCAGGGACGGGGTCGAGAGCTTAGCCTGTATGGGGTCGAGTGCTCAAAGTGCACAGGGTCGAGAGCTCAGACTGTGAACCACATCGGGCTGGTCACGGCCATGCTTCGCTTCATTGCACACAACAAGTGCAGGTCTTGGCGCGACGGCGCGATCGAAGAACCCTTCCCGCCTCCTCTTCCACGGACAGGGAAAAGGAGAGGGAGGAGAAAATTGATTAGGCTTTCGCTGCTAGTGGGGGCTGTGGCACTGGGCGCCACCAGCCCAGCGGCGACGGCACCCACCACGCCAGCCTCGCCACACACTGCGAAGGCGCCGTCAAGCCCAGAGGCAACGACTGTCGAGCCGTCCGCGCGACGACCCCGCGCCAGTACGGAGGCGCCGTTCGGCCCCAGAGGCGACGACAGCCAACCGAATCGACCTCCTCTGCCGCGAAGTCGCCGTCCAGCCTGGGGGCGATTTCAACCCCGGACGAATGGTTTGCATAACCACTCACACGCTGCTGCGGCGGTGCCGCCAGCTCGGGAATGACGACCCGAACCGCTCCAGCCACCCCCAACTACGGTGGATGCGCCGCCCAGCAGGGAGGCGACGGCATCTGCCACATGGACATGCGAGGGGAGCGCACTGCGTCGTTGATTTCTTCTTGCAAACACGTTCTGACATACTGCTTTGCGGTACTGACCTGCCCGTGCGACCTAAAGCAGCCGCCCCTCCCGCAAAGGAACAACCACTGTGCCGCGGGCGGCCATCCTTCACGCCAGCGCTCGGCCATGCCCATGGCGAAGGTGAAACCGCAGGCTGCTGCGTCATCGCATCCGCCCATGGCCACGTGCAATGTGACCTGGACGCACCTCACCTCCAGTCCCCACTCTCTGGAGAAAAGAAGTAACTCAACTCCGGCGCTGGCCGCAGCCGCGACCTCCACGGTGGATGCGCCGCCCTCCACGTCGGAATCCGTATTCTCGTGCTCGGAGGCTACACGGAAGTTCGCGTCGCCACCGGACTCGCCGCCCCCCCCCCCGTCGACGCGCACGGATGCCTGTCGGCGGGCCGACACCGCAGGCACAGCAGCATGGCGAACCGAACGCACTCGGCGAGGCACTGTGGCGAAGAGCGCACCCATGCCGAGCACGCTGCGCACTCAGAAGATACGACGAGGCTGAACATGCAAATTGAGCATCTGGCTGGGGCTGGCCCAGCTTGCTTCCACCTTCCTGACCTGGTAGCGTCCAGGCCGAACTCCTTCCAATCAAGTCGAAGACCCTGCGGAGCTGGTGCAACGCCCCCGCCAGATCCCCCCGCGAGAACTCCAGCGCGCTCTTTGCGATCATGTCGGCGTGCCCTCCGAGCAACCTGCGGGACACGACCGACAGGCCAGCTTTCGCCGCCCAGGACAGGACAGCGGCCCTGGCTGACCTAGAACTGAAACTCTTGGGCAATACCGCCTCCAGCTCTGGTTCGCTGGTGAGGGCTCGCAGCCGAGAAGACGTGGCGTCTGTGGTTGTCCATGCGTGAACTTCAGGCTGGAGGCAGCCGTCTTTCTCTGCTGCCAGGTCCGCCCGCCTCCGTAAGCTGAGCCATGCCTCTGCCCAGCGCGCCCTGCTGATCCCACGGGGTGACGCAACGAGCGGCAAAGCCATGCCAGATTTCTTCGCCTGGGTGCCCGTCTTGCGCAGGCCGAAAGAGGCCCCAGCCTCGATGAAACCGTGCCCGTCCGAGCCCTCCTCCAGCGTTGGCTCGTGGCTGGCCTTCGACGAATCCTTGCAGCGCGCACGGGAGCGCGCGAGCCACAACAAGAAGCCCGCGACCACTGCCCTACTAAGGGCAGGGCCCGTCAGAGTGCATGCCGCCGCTTCAGTCACCCCGGCCTCCAGCCACAACACGCAAATTACCGGAAGAGACGGAACCTTCACCGCTTCCCTCCAGCGCATAAGGCCTCTAAACGACAATCCCCTGGAACGCGGCGCGAGCACGTGGTCTACGTCGACGTGGGTGGAAGAGGTAGCCCATGAACGCCAACGCCTCCAAGAGGGCACACCCCATACTCGCGGAGACTGCCACTGAACCCCCGAGGTGCATGGACGACCTCCTACGAAAGCGGGAAAGCGTCCACCTGACTGCTCTCACACTCACGCTGCGAACAACAGGAAGGACCCCGCGCGCTTCTGCAGGGTCGCCGTGGTCCTCGTCTCCAGCGTGTCGCGGGCGAGCAACCTGAGGCCCTCGCCGTGTCTGACGACAGGGGCCCCCCGACCTGTGGACTTTGCTCAGCACAAGGGCTCACTCGTTGAAGGCGAGCGTCTCTCCGCTAGTTGCGTTCTTTGGGAAGGGGGCGCTGCAGCCTTCCTCACCGTGGCCGCGGCGGTCATATGACCTCCGCTTGTTTCTGCCTCGACGCGCGCCTCTGCGCTCAAACGACGAGCTTGGGGGACTGGCTGGGCATGAACCAGACGAGGTACCCGTGGCCGCGCAACGCCCAGTCGCCCTGGTGCGCCGCCACAGAGACCCAGCTCCCACGGCAGCCGAGGGCCAGACTGCTGAACACCGAAGAGGCTCCGGGCCATCCCACCGCGACCCCCCGTGGGCCAAAAGGAAGGAAGGAACAAGTACCCTACGCCCTAAGGCGCGTCGGCGCGGCATGCGCTCAGGCGTGCACGAAAGTCTGACTCTGAGTCTTTGCGCGCAAAGACTCTGACGCCAGTGAACGACATGTACGTACGGACAACCGGGGACCGCCGGTTGGAGTGGGCGAAGCAACTGCACCCACACGGTGTACGGGATCGACAAGACTTTCGTGCACGCCTTGGGCCAAAAGAGGGACCGCCAAACCTCCTCTGAGCAAAGAGGGGGATTCGGGCAGAAATGCCTGCGGAAAGGGAGACAGAGTCGGAATAATAGCATGAAGTGCGGACCCCACAGGAAGGGATTTCCGCTTGAGACTTCCTCGGGCGTCACTCACAGACGAGGCTCCTGCTTGAAACATCCGCACGACTTTCCCCATTGGGGTGCTAAAGTGCTATGCCCCGTAGAGGTTGCCGACGACCCGCTCGGTTTAGTAACATGAAGTGCGAACCTAATAAGGAGAGGGCTCCACCTCGAGACTTCTTCGCCATTGGCTCACCAAACGAGGCGCCCGCATGAATCGGATGACCCGATCGGATTAGTAGCATGAGGTATGGACCCCCTGGGGAAAGGCCCGTGGTGATGATAATGATGATAAAGGAGGAAAACATGAGGAGGAAGAGTGCGTGAGTGTGTCCGTGTGTGAGTGATGATGATGATGACAATGATAATTATGATAAGAACAACTGTTGATGATGATGTTTGTGGTGGTGGTAGCAACGGCGATGGTGATGTTGATGTGGTTATGAGAACATGGTGTGGTGATGCTGATGTTGGTGTGATGGTGGTGACGGTGATGAAGGTGATGATGATGATGCGGGTGAGATGATGATGATGATGATGACGATGATGATGATAATGATGATGATGACGATGATGATGATGATGATGATGGTGATGATGATGATGATGATGATGATGATGATGATGATGATGATGTGGGGGGGGGTCTTCTTGTTCATGCGCGGGGTGTCCAGAGAAAACATGAACCCCACTTAGGATGTGGGGGAAAAATGGGGCGATGCCACCGGGATATCCCATGGCCCTGGCAATGATATCCACACACACACGTGTTCGTCGGCGGCGAGGCAGAGTTGGCTTCACTAGCGATAGAGCTAGACGGGGGAACCGAAAAGCGAATTGGCCAGCATGCAAGAGTGGGAAGAGCAGCGCACACACACTCCTAGTCCTCACTCCTCTCTTCGGCTCCTGGTGGCTTTCGCTCGAGCGTCTGGTGGCCGTTCGGGACGATTTGGGCACCCCTGGAAGCTCTCGGCGAGGCGCAGATGCTGGAAAGAATCCCAAAGCAAGAAAAAACCGAAGAACCAACGAAAACGCCCTCCGTAGATGACACAAAAGAGCTTGCATGCTGCATACACACAACATGAACATTCGGAGGCACGCGCGGATTTCTTGCACCGGCGCTGGCCAGCGCAGATCCAAGAAATCCGCGCGGAGCTCCGAAAGCTTAAAGTACGGGCCCGACCACAAGAAACCTTCGACAAGAAACCCAACCCTGAGACCCCATGGCGTCCACTGACATTTTGGTGTGGGCACGTCACGCTTTGGCAAAACCATCGAAACCCAAGAAACCCAGGGCACCCTGGAGGCAAGCAGGGTGTTTCTTGGCATGGGCCCCCACTGTATACGCTTGTGCATTCTTGCTCTTCAACTCCAAGAGCCAACGGAAGCGTCCTCGCCCCCTCTCCGACGCTCCCGAAGTCGTACTGGTACGCGACAGCCGTACTGCACTTTTTTTTCCGCCAGGGCTGGCGCATGCGAGCTGCCGTCCGAGGGGGCCCGCCCGCGCGAGCGCGCACTGCCGGCGCTAAAGCTTGCGCACCTTGCCGCCGTGGATCCTCTTGGGGGTGAGGTCGGCAACGGGGCACAGGAAATCAAGCACAAGTTGTTTTTTTGGGGGGGGCCTACATCGGCGGCGAGCAAGAGGGGCAAGTGAGAGGGAGAAGGCTTTCTCAAACAGTTCGGAAGTCCCCCAATCTTCTGAGAAGTTTTCTAAGCCTTCTCCGGAGAAGACAGAACAAACATCTCAAAGGCGCGATGGCATCTGAGAAATCCCGCCGCCTTCTGAGAAGTTCCCCCCCTCGCTCGCCGCCGATCTTGGGAGAGGCCGGCAACCGGGCATAGGAAACCAAAGAGAAGTGTGTGGTGGGGGGGACTACAAACAGGGACCCACGCGCCCAACCACGTACATGACTTCGGCCCCCCAGCCCGCGGGGCCAGCCTCGCGTCACGAACCATCGCGCGGTGCGCACTTTCAAAACTATACGTGTGCGTCCTTCTTTCGCTCCTAGTTCTAGTTCGGGCGTGTCCCTCTACAGGCAGCTTTAGGACGAAAAATAAAACATACTCAAAACAGATTCCAAAATAGTCCGAAAATGCTCAAACAAAAATCGTCCCCAGACTAATTCTTGACTATTTCTGAACATCCCTCCTGGAGAGGGACAGGCCCGACTTACTCCTAGCTTCTTTAGGAAAAGATGGGAGCGGACAACGTGCTTCAAACACCAGCGCGTCAAACATCGAATGCCGCCACGCGCCGAAGACCATGTCGAAAAGACAGCTTGACACGGCTGGGGAGGGCTCCCAAGAGCTTCCAAAGAGGCCCCCAAACTATCCCCAAGTGGCCCCCGGGAGCGCTCGTCGTCGTCGTCGTCATTCAGGGTCGGCGGCACGGTTCGGAAGGCCTTCGCAATCAGATGCCGCCACGCACCGAAGACCAGGTCAAACAGACAGCTTGACACGGCTGGGGAGGCACGGCCCAAGCGAGAGAACGGTTGCACCCAAAAGCTGTGTTCTTCCTCACCCAGTGGGTGGGACAGGCGCGTAGTGCGCCGAGGGACAGGATAAGAAGGAGGACGACGACGATGACGAAGACGACGACGACAAGGAGGGAGAGTGCAGAGTAGTTACCTAGAACGGCTGGCACGCGTCCTGGCTGCTCTGAACCCTTGGCGGATGTCAAGCAGAAGCGAGGCAGGGAGCTGCTTGGCCAGCTCTGGAGACCCCTGGTTGGCGGCGAGCGAGGGGGGGAAGTGAGAAGGAGAAGGCCTTCTCTGAAGGCCTCGGAAGTCCACCGGCCTTCTGAAAAGTGTTCGAGGCCTTCCCGAAGAAAAGAAACAAACAAAAAAACGAGCCCAGAAGGAGCGAGGTCTTCTGAGAAGCCCCGCCACCTTCTGAGAAGGCCTTCTGCTTCTCACTTCAACCCCTCGCTGGCCGCCGATTGTTTGGCCCGCTCTGGACCAACAAAAAACATGAGCCCGAAACTGTCCTTTTCACAGTCGCACCCAGGCCAGAAGAGCACCCTTCAAGAACACCCAAGGGTACCACACAGAGCCTCCGAGGGAGAGCACCCGCCGGCCAAAACGAGCAGAGCATCCAAGGGCACCTTCCCCAGGACGCACAAGAGCATCTCGCCATCGCTCGGACGTCCATTCCCTGTGCATTTTTCGGTTTCGTGCGTGTTTTTTTTGCCCAAGGTGAGCAAAATGCCCCTCGATGGTCCTCGCCGAGAATAAATGCACACGTTCGAGCGATGCCAAGACATCCAACCGGGGGCGCCCCCCCGTCACATTTCCGCTAACCAGAACTGCCGTCACCCGAAAAAAACACCAATTACGGCAAACCTGGTCTAGTGAATCTGGCCAATGGAGGGGCCCCAGGGCCCTACCACTGACCGGGTCCCCTTACCCGGGGTCCTGGCTATACCCGCACAAGAGCATCCCACCAACACGAAGAACATCCAAGAGCGCCCTCCCCGAAGCCGACCTCGACCTCCCGCCGTGGTCCGACGCTATACTTCCGCCGCCTGCCGCGGCCCTCCCGCGGCCCTTCCGCCCGCGGACCCGCCCCCGCCGCTGCCCTCCCGGCCCGCTCCCACCCGGCCCGTCCGCGCTGGGCCTCCGCCGAGGAGAGCCCGGGCGCGCCGACAGGCGAGGCCTCCGCTTGGATAGGGGGACAACAAACCTACCTCGCTTTTGACCACCCTCGCTTCCAAGAGATACCAAACGATGCCAAATTGCAGCCTGTACTGGTCAGGCCGCTTGACGAGGAGGCGCGTGGTATGGCTTGGTTTTGCCTGGAAGCGAAAGCGGGGTAGGTAATTCACGCTCTGATTGGAGCCAGCGCCACGGCGCCCCAAGCGGCCAGAGGTACGACGAAGCCAGGATGAGGTCGGGCCTGTCCCCCTGGAGGGGGATTTGGGGCGAAAAATGAAAGATAGTGCGTACTTGTCACAAAAAAAAAACTTTCACAAACAGGGAAAAAATCGTACCCGGATTATTTTGTACTATTTTTGGCTACTCCTCTTGTAGAGGGACAGGCCCAGGTTAAGGCCAGGACGAAGACAAACTCGGGCGAAGATGAATCGAGAATCTCTGAGGTCTGGCGGCTCTGGAGGATGTCTCGGGCGCCGCGGCCTCGTCAGAGCGTTCCGGAACGCTCTGAGAGCGTTCTGGAGCGCTCTAGAGCGGATTTGTCCTCGTCCTAGCCCCGTCCGATTTGGTCCAAACTACGTGCCTGCGAGACGCGGGGAAGCAGTTTGCAGAGTGAGCAGCACGCCATGCGGCAACGAGGAAGAGCTGCCGGAGCGGTGGGCTGGAGACGCCCGAGCTCATCTGCGATAAGCTCCTTCTCGTAAAGCCCTCACTGGGAAGCCAGTGGGTCAATAAAACAGAAAGAACGAAGGATTGCAAAAAAGGGTTGCAAAAAAGGATTGCCAAAACCCCCAAAAAGGATTGCAAAAAAGATTGCAATCCTTTTTTTTTTTTTTTTTGTTGAGAACACCTCCGGAGAAAAAAAACACCTCGGGAATCTGTGAGGGCCCGCGGATCTGGAGGGTGCGTCGGGCGCCGCGGCCGTTCTCCGAGCGCTTCGGAGCGCTCCGAGAGCGCTCCGGGACACTCTCCGGAGCGACATGTCCTCTTTTCCCTCCCTCCCTCCCTCCTTCCCTCCCTCCCTCCCTCCTCCCCTCCTCCTCCTCCTCCTCCTCCTCCTCCTCCTTCCCTCCCTCCCTCCCTCCTCCTCCTCCTCCTCCTCCTCCTCCTCCTCCTCCTCCAGGCCTGCCTTGGTCAAGCTGCCCTCTCAGCAGAGGCTTACACACACTCTGGAGCGACATATCCTCATCCGGGGATGGACAGACCTCCCTTTAGTAAAGCGTGGTCTAGTGAAAACGACCTGAGGCCAAAACCTGGCGGACGCAAGCCTGGAAGATGACGGCCGCGGCGCCCTCTCGAGAGCCGAAAGCGGCCAATCCACTAATCGACGTGTCACTGTTGGGGGTTCTGTCCACCCCCGACTCATCCCAGGCCTGCCTTGGTCAAGCTGCCCTCTCAGCAGAGGCTTAACACACACTCCTGCATCCACACAGCCAGAGCAACCAGAAGCAAAACCCGTCTCCGACAGATGATTCTGACAAGCAGGGCGCACGTCTCGCGAGACGCTCTGACGAAGCGTCCGAATCGGACGGAATCCAGCAGAATTCGACGCGTCGCGGCCACAGCCTCGGTGATGGTCGGGCGAACGCTACGCAGAAGCGACCCTCGAGAAGACCTGGGTTGGGCAAGCTCGTCTGGTCAGCTGCGACCCAGAAGGTAAAGCCGGGGCGCGCTGAGTACAGATATCCCCCGACGCCCGACTAGCCGCCAAAGAGATCTCACACAGAACGTATAAAGGGGAAGCTCCAGAGAGAGAGAGAGAGAGAGAGAGGAACAACAACAACAACAAAAAAGAGAAGAGGGAGAACGAAGAACAAGACGAGTAGGACTACACGGGGGCAGGGCGAGGAAAAAGAGGATGGTGCAGAGAGGGAGGCGGCGAGGAGGACAAGCAGCAGCATATCTAACAGCTTGAAGGCATGGGTGGGCAAGTGAGCGGGGCCCGGCCTTACCAGCTCCATTTCGAAGACAAGCGTGGCGCCGCCAGGGATGTCGTCGCCTTTGCCGCTTCTGCCTCGCCCGCACCCGTGACAGCGAGCGCCACCCTGACAACTGGCAGTCCACGAGGTTGCGTCTAACTTTCGGCCCGACAAGCTCTACCAATGCCGCAGCACCGATGTAAACCGTTCTCAAAGTGGACGACTCAGAGGGCGATGTCCTGACGCTGCGCGCAGACCCTTCGGGATGTCACCCACTGCTCATGTGACATCGGCGCGGGGACTCCACACTCGTGGAGGGGGTAGGGGCCATCAGCCCATACAGTCAAAAACCCTGATGAGGACGCGCGGTAAGGACGCAAGACTCTTGGAAGCCGAAGTTGGAATTTTTGGGGCGGCGGACGACGAAAACCCCAAGGACGCAAGAGCAAGGACGAGCAAGGACGCAAGGGTACCCTGAGCAAAGTCGCGCGTCCTTACTAGGGTTTTGACTCTATATCCTTGCCGCCCTCGCCACGGCAACACCGCCGCGCGCCTGGCGACCACTGTCCACCGGGATGCTCGCAGAGGTGTCCCTTGAAAATACGCCCCGTCCCGGGAGCATGCCACAGCACGGGTCCACGGTGCCTGCCAACAGGAGGACGGGATTGGGCCAGCACCTGTGAGGACATCCTGCCTCCTCGTCCCCTTCTGCATGCTCACAGCCCATCTCTACCTACAAGGCCAACCAAACTCAGAAAACGAGGTGTTGGTTGGGGTAGGGGGTGATCCGCGTGTGCTTGACAATAATTTGACGCGTCGTCGCCTACGAGTATGTAGCAAACAGTTCGAATTAAGCTGAGAGCAACACGTAATGAAGTTGGCATGGGAATGGAACCGACCAAAGATTGCGGACACGATCAAACATAGCGGAACCAACCAAACAATCATATGTGTTCCAACGCTGGTGACACCTCATATGGTGAACTCAACCGCATCTACCAGTCCACAGGTATGAGGATCCGGATCACAATCACGAGCGCAAGAAGCTTGCAATACAGTGCCATACGTTCATTGCAAATGCACATTATATATGATCGCAGCTTCGCACGGCACGCGTGAGCTGCTTTTTGTACAACTTCACACCAAATCTCTAATGCAAGGGTCTTGCTGCCCAGCGGTTGAGTCAACTTGCGGTTTCCAGCTGCTGCGCCGTAACGAAGTGTCAGATGCCGTTCGGCCCTCCTGTCCGATATTGTTCGACCCTCCTGCGACCCTCTGCGAGCGCGCGCTCCCTCATCGCCCTCATCTGCACAATTGTTATCACAACCGCCAACGTCATCATTGACATCGTCATTGTCCTCATCATCCTCATAATCATCACCAACATCATCGTCATCGCATCATTATCATTACCGTCGTCGTCATCATCATCACCGCCGTCATCATTATCATCGTCGATGTCGTCACCCTCGTCAAACGCCTGCTCGCGGGCTCTGCCTGGTCATGAGTCATCATCCTCACCAACGTCGTCGATGCCACAGTCATTATCATCGCCATCAGCTGCATCACCATCAGCATTGTCGTTGTCGGCATCGCCCCCACCGTCGTTATCAACTTTATCATCGTCGTTGTCGTTGTCGCCGCCCAGTTGGGTTGTGCCAACAAGTTGCGGGCGGCGGTGTGATACGTACACGAGCAATGGAGCTGACGACTTCTACATTAAAAACTGAATTTCAAGGTTTCACCGCCTGCCACGTAGCGTGTCGCGCTGTATGTATTGAGCTTACGCCACATAGATGTTCTGTCCTGAAAATTCAGAATCACACACCCCACCGAGGCCGAAGTTAGCCCCCCCTTGGGGGATTTGATATGTTAAACCTGTTCTGCACGTTCGTCCACTGAACACATAACATCCCAGCCACTGCCAGGCCAGGCCGCTATCACGCACCCCCCTCCTCCTGCCATCTCCTGCAAAAACGCTATGCGTTGAACATGCGTTGAACTAAAAACTGCTTGTTCTGAGATCCCCTTGCAAAAAAAACATAAAACACAGGATGGGGCACATGCGCGCGCCGCCGCGTGCACACGTCCAAACTCTTCAGCCAAAACGGTCAAGACACGGATCGTCGGAAGCTGTTCCAACAGAACGCCAGCGGCCCGTCAACCGAGCGAGCACCAGAGATCTGCGCGCGCGCCTCCACTGCAGTCGTAAGGCAAACGCTGTTTGCGAGCCGTTCTGCCGGAGCAGACGAGGCGGGCCCCGCGCCCGCGCAGGCCGAAGGCGCTGTGGCACACTGCGGGCCACGCGCGTGCGCCTCCGCCTGCGCACGTCGACGTGCGTCCGAAGCCACTGGTGTTCCGACCGTTTCACCAGTGCGGTGTTCAAACGCATGCGGCAATCCAGTGGCTTTCGATCAAGCCATGTCAGGGTGCTGGAATTTCTGTGGGCGCGCACTTCCTCATCATCTGTTACAGAAAAACCCTCATCATCATCGACAGCGTCGTCCCATCATCATCATCATCATCAGCGGCCGCAGCGGCAGCGGCATCAGCATCAGCATTTGCATCAGCTTCACCATCATCATCATCAGCAGCAGCATCATCATCTTGATCAGCATCACCATCATCATCAGCAGCAGCATCATCATCAACACCATCTTCGGTATCATCGTCATCACTGCCATCTTTGAAGCCGTCGCCGTCGTCAAATTTCTGAGCGCGGGCACGTCCTCATCATCGTTATCACCAGCATCATCGCCATCATCACCATCGCCCGCGTCATCATTGCCACCGTCGTTCTCACCACCATCATCCTCATGTGGCCGCCATTTCGGCTGTCATCGCCATCGGCATTCGCGTCACCACCACTGTCATCGGCGCCCGTGCGCTCGTTGAAGTCGTGATCAATATGGGATGTGCTAACAAGTTGCTGGTGGGAAGGTGGGATGGTTGCACGAGAGGTGGGCCCGTCGACTCCAACACTGTCAAACATGATTTCCCCATAGTGCAAATGATAAGCTCCACCCCCCTCCCGGAACTGGGCTTATCCCCGCCCCCTTTAGCATTCCAATGTGCACGCAGTCCTGCCTCATCGCTTCTTTCGCATGGATCCATACCCCCTTGACCCGTCAAATAACACCATGCTGTGGACACACGTTGATATGAGAATTGCTGTCGTAACGAAACCATTGGACAATCGCTTCACGGAGCAAATTCGCGCGGCGCCGCGCGCCCGATTGTTCAAACAAATTGAGAGGTGGCTAGCCAAAGACTGTCCATTGGCGTTCCACCACGCATGATGGATTTTTGCGCGAGCGCGCGCACTCGCTGAAATCATAAGGTAATTATCGGTTCGTAACATTCAGGCCATGAAGACCACTTGCGCGCGCCCACCAACTCGGACAAATGATACCATGTGGGCCACACGCGCGCGTCAGCCGCGCGGGCACGTCGAAATCGTTCCAATAGCATGTTGGCTCACAGACACACACATACGAACGCCCAATGGTTTTCAATCAAACCGTGTCGGAGTGTTTGAGAGACTGCGGGCGCACACTTTCTCGTCGTCCTCATCAACACAGCCGTTCCACCATCGACAGCGTCATCACTGCCATCGTCAGCACTGCCATCATCATCTCCATCGTCGGGATCATCGCCGCCGCCGTCATCGTCGTCGTCGTCGATGTCCGCACCCTGTTCAAATTTCTGCGCGCGGGAACTGCGTCGTCATCATCACCAGCACCGCTGTCATCATCATCGCCATTGTCACCGGTGCGTCGTCGTTATCGCCGCCCTCATTCTAATCACCATCCTCGTCGTCGTCGACACCGTCCCCACCGTCGCCATCAACATCACCAGCTTGAGCGTCATCGCCGACGTCGCCGGCCGCTTGGATTTTGCGAACAGGTCGCTACTTTGATGGGTGGAATGCTTGCGCGGGCAATGGAGTTGACGAGTTCACTTTAAGCCATCTCAGAGAAACTATGGATTCGGCTTGTGTCGGGGATTCGGTTTTCTGCGATGTATGGGGCCAGGTGGACCAGGCAGACATCGACGACGACGACGAGAGCGACGAGGACGAGGGGGAGGAGGAAGAAGACGACGACGAGGGGGCGGAGGGCCAGCACCCCCATCCGTCCTGCCGGCCAAGGGCAAGAGCAGACGAGAAAAACGCATCGGAGTCACACTGGAAACATGTTGACACAATCTCGGGATCAACTAGGGTGAAAAGGGGTCAGATTTGGGCGATCTCGAAATCGTCTTGGGCTCACGGGGTCGTCCCTGGGCCACCGCGAAATAGAATCGGGGCCACGCGGTAGCCTTCGATCAGTCGGAAGACAATAGGTTCCTTTCGGTGCTTATAACATGCAAGAACGTACAATGTACATATATATATATATATATATATATCGCAGCAGATAGACGAAAGGCAGCGCTTGCACATCAAATCGTGCACAGCATAGCGTTCACCAATCCGCCGGCCCCCTTGTGGGGCCACCAGGCTGTAGGCCCGTGATTCGCAGTTTCCTGTACCAGTCGTAGGTTGTAGTTTCCAGTGTTACAATTCTGCTTCTTGCTGGTTACTGTAACTAGTTGACTTATTGCTGGTTACTGTAACCAGTTGATTGACCGCGCGAGGGGGGGGGAGGCCCAAAGTGGCTTTGTAGCGTCCCCTGGGCGCGTTGTCTGAATTGCTGGGGGGGCTCGAAATCGACACCCCTCACGCAGATCCGCGGGGTCAGGGTCCAAAAACACATGGGATTTGCCACATTTCTGAAATTCGGTGCCACCCCTCACGCAGATCCGCGGGGTCAGGGTCCAAAAACACATGGGATTTGCCGCATTTCTGAAATTCGGTGCCACCCCTCACGCAGATCCGCGGGGTCAGGGTCCAAAAACACAAGGGATTTGCCACATTTCTGAAATTCGGTGCCACCCCTCACGCAGATCCGCGGGGTCAGGGTCCAAAAACACATGGGATTTGCCACATTTCTGAAATTCGGTGCCACCCCTCACGCAGATCCGCGGGGTCAGGGTCCAAAAACACATGGGATTTGCCACATTTCTGAAATTCGGTGCCACCCCTCACGCAGATCCGCGGGGTCAGGGTCCAAAAACACATGGGATTTGCCACATTTCTGAAATTCGGTGCCACCCCTCACGCAGATCCGCGGGGTCAGGGTCCAAAAACACAGGGGATTTGCCACATTTCTGAAATTCGGTGCCACCCCTCACGCAGATCCGCGGGGTCAGGGTCCAAAAACACATGGGATTTTTGCCACATTTCTGAAATTCGGCGCCACCCCTCACGCAGATCCGCGGGGTCAGGGTCCAAAAACACAGGGGATTTGCCACATTTCTGAAATTCGGTGCCACCCTTCACGCACATCCATCGCAAGGCGTGGTAACCCAAACTGCGAGAACTCCCTCGGCCCTTTAATCGCAAGGTGTGGTAACCAAGCCCGTAAACCATACACGTCTTACCAATCGCCAGGTGTGGTAACCCCTCTTGTGATCAGTTGGGTTTGCTGATTGCGAATCGGCTTCGCGTGAAGTTTCGATACTGCTTCACGACAGCGCCAAGGCCTCATGACTTAGCTCTTCCATGGCCCATTCTCCGAAAGAGGGGGCCAGCGGCAGGGGGCGAAGCCCTTACGGATTAATTTACACGACAGATCTACAGATAGATATATATATATATATACACACATATGTCACATCCAGAATGCACGAACTCACTGTTCGGGGTCCATACTGGCAGACACCTGTGAACTGTGGATCAAGCAAAGACACGAGAGAGGATATCAAATTCGCAGATGCGTCGTGCCCATGGGGCCCATGACTCTCGAAAATACTGGGCAGAGACGCTGCAGCCCAGGGTGGGCCTAGCACTGCAAAGCAAACTAACGGAACCAACAAGCATTCACGAACCGTTGTCAAGTACAGCACTGCAGACCCAAGCATATGGTCGCCAGTATATCCACGCCATCCCATCCTCTTCCCCCCGCCCTCGCTTCCCTCAGCTCCCCCGCCGCTTCTTTTTACACCCGCCCTCCACCCCTCCCAGTTCAGGCACTGATGAAGGGAGGGGAGAAGAGGAAAAGTGAGGGAGAGAGATGGGAAGGGGAGGGGGAGGGGGGGAGGGAGGAAGGGGAGAAGACATGGGGAGAGGGATGGCAAGGCCGTCGTCGCCCCGACACCCGAACCCTCCCTCCGTAGCCGAGCTCGGACGGCACGGTCAGCTCCCACTTGTCGCCTTCCACCATCAATTGCAGCGCCTGGGTCCATCCAGGTATCACCTTGCGAGGGGGGCGAAGGGCCGAGCAGAGGCCAAACACCCCCATCCCCCATCCACTACATCTCCCCCCCCCTCCCCCCCCCTCCCCCTCCTCCTCCTCCTCCTCCTCCTCCTCCTCCTCCTCCTCCTCCTCCTCCTCATCCTCTTCGTCCTCCTCCTCAACCTCGTCCTCGTCCTCGTCCTCCTCCTCCTCCTCCTCCTCCTCCTCCTCCTCCTGCTCGTCGTCCTCCTCCGCCTCTCCGGGGATGGTTCTCCTCCTGCTCCTCCTCCTGCTCGTCGTCCTCCTCCTCCTCCTCCTCCTGCTCGTCGTCCTCCTCCTCCTCCTCCTCCTCCTCCTCCGCCGCTCTGGCTGAAGGCTCCTTGGGCACCCTGGGCCGTCTGCTCTTTGGCGTTCTGGCCATTGCTCGGGCCAGAAGCGGCAGACTCCGCAGAGATGCGGACAGGCGGGCAGTCGGCCCGCTGTCGGTAACGCCGCGACGGAACTACAGGGAGGCGTTCGGGCACCACGGGCGTGAGGCATGGAAAGCAAAGGTGGCGGCGAGGCAGACCGGGGTGAGATGCAGAGGCAGATACCATGTCGGAGAGAAGTGATGGGGAAGCCGACATCGTTGTAGCGAAAATGCCTGCGTCCCTGAATTACTCCTTGCCGCCTTTCCCCCCTCTCTCGCCATCTCTCTCTCTCTCTCTCGCTCTCTCTCTCTCTCTCTATCGCTCTCTCTCTCTCTCGCTCTCTCTGCCTCTTCGCTCTCTCTCTCTCTATATATATATGTATATATGATATATATACATACATGTACATACGCACAGTTGTATACATATACATAACTATAGAAAAAGGTGAGCGTCCCCAAAGCACACCTCTTTATGTAGATCATAACTCAGAGATCAGCAAGTGCTGTAGTTTACGTGAATGTCCGCATGTGCTGGCCAGGCGGCCTGGTTGGGCGCGAAGGTACTCGGCGCACCCCGGCTGTACGAGGAGTCGAACTCGGTGCCATCGATAAGGGTGCCCCTGTAATGGCCTCAGGGCAGGTTCCCAGACATGATCGCGTCGTCGAAAAAAAGGCGGCAAGTGTTTCACTATTTTCGGCCCTTGGAAGCCCTCGCCGGGCCCGGGACCGTCAAAAAACGACTCACGATGAAACACTTGAACTGGGGAAAGGGCCTGGACTTCCAGAGACGCCGTGTTGAAAAAACCAGGACGTCGCATGTCTGGATTTAGGTCTGATCGCAGACGCGATCCCTCCGACTCGGGCCGATGCAGAGCCTGATCCTGGCTTTGGCGCGCGCAGCGCTCCTGAGAGCCGAGGCCCGACCGACCGACGCATCAGCGATCCACTATCCGCGATCGATCTCCGACGGCCAAATCAGGACGTTACTCAGGGGGGTCTGAGCTCGAAGGCGTCCGGCCTCGTAGGCTTCGACGTCTGCCCCGGGCCCCCGCTGCAAGGACGCCGAGGTGGAGCGACGGCGCCGAGCGGAAAAGTTGGCCAAAGCGCGGAGCGCGGGGCAGCCCAGCCAAACACCACAGCGTGCGCATCGAGCTCGTGCTCGTCAGCCCGGCGGGCGAAGCAGGCGCGCCCGCGCGGGCTGGGGCTTGCCCGCCTGTGGGGCACGCGCTGTGCGGCGGGTTGGGGGGGGGCAGAACGAGCCCGTCGAACCAATGCGACCGCTCACGGTGGTGGGACGCTGCTGGGGCTCCCTCGAATGCGGGAACCGCGCGAAGGCGGACAGGACGAACCCGTCGTGCGTGCGCGGAAGGCGCTCTCACCTGGGCCCACTCTGGAGTCCCCCCGTGGGGCACGAAATTCGTGAGGGGTGGTCCGAGGTGGTTCGAGGTAAACTGGCGTGACATTTGCGGGTACGCCCAAGTGAACGGCGGCTGAGGGCCCACATGAGGAGCGAAATGTACTAGGTGTGGGCGGACGCATCTGCACGCGCGAACTAGATGGAGCACTAGAGCCATGGCTCGGGCTTTGTATGGGGCAGGAACTGTAGGATAGCACATGACGGGTGGGCACGAGGGAGCCCAGAGCGCCCACTGCAGCTCAGTTGCGGTTCCCCATAGCCTATATAAGAGGATGAACTGTGCGAAGGGCGGGTCTGCATCGGGCGTCGGACGCACGGGGGCACGAAATATGTGAAGGGTGGGCCAGAACGAAGCCGTCGGACGCATGCGGGCTCGCCCACCGGGTCCGTAGTAGAGACTCCCGAAAAAACAGCGAAAGGTGTCAGGGGCAGGCAGCGGGCATGGAGTGGGCCGGGTGAGGGATCACCCCTCCAGGCTGCATCAGGAAGCTGGGAACACAATGGTTGGATTCACATGTGGAACATCCAGAAGCCACGCCCCACACCCCTCCGATAAACAAAAAAAACTTACTTTGAGTTTTGATGCTGGGCCCTGTGGCCGAAAAAAGCAAAGGTCGCGATTGAAGTAGCCCTATGCGCACTCAAAGGAAGCGCGCGCACGCGCGTTATGAAGGACAAATCGGTTCTAGTCAATTAAAAAACACATAATTCTGGCCAGTCGACTTGAAGAACGCACAAGGACGCCAGCCCCAAAAAGTAGCCTGGCGAAGAACCCGACCAGATGCAGCTGTGAGACCCGCAGTTGTAAATATCGTCTTCGGCGGAGGTCCCCGTGGGGCCACAAGGGCCACAACACTTGTCAGTGGTGTGCCGAAGAAGAGCGGGGGAGAAGCATGCGGGCCTTGCCACTGGTGACGAAGCTGCTGGCGATGATGATGATGGTGATGTTGATAATGATGATGATGATGATGATGATTATGATGATGATGATGATGATGATGATGATGATGATGATGATGACTATGATTATGATTATGATTATGATTATGATGATGATGATGATGATGATGATGATGATGATGACAATAACGATGCCGATGACGATGCTAATGATGATGGCGATCTGAGGGGATTGCCAAAGCTGATGGCGATGATGATGGTGATGCTGATGATGATGACGATGATGATGATGCTGATGATTATGATGATGACGGCGGTGATGATGATGTTGATGATGTTGATGGTGATGATGATGATGATGGTGATGATGATGGTGGTGGTGATGGTGATGGTGATGGTGGTGGTGACAATGACGATAATGACGATGACGATGACGATGGTGAGGATGATGCTGATGATGATAATGATGAGGATGAGGATGAGGATGAGGATGATGATGATGATGATGATGATGATGATGATGATGATGATGATGATGATGACGATGACGATGGCGATGACGATTGTGCTGGGAGGAGGGAGCGGAGGAAGGAAGGAACGCGGGGCGCCGCCTCGTCAAAACGAGGCCCCAGCGCCACAGGATGGTTGGGAACAACAAAAACTCGCGGGCGAGGGCAAGGCAAGGCCTACAGTCGGGGAGTTGACCTAAGGAACGAAAAATAAGGAACGAGGCCCCTTTTTCCCATACGTTCAACTCAGATTTTCCATGGAAAACCTCAGGCAACCCCAAGGAGCACTGTAAAGCAACTAAGGAACACGGAGCCCCTCCCCAACAGAAAGGGTTCCTTCTTCAGGGCCCCGACTGTAGTCCTATAAAAATCCCTTGCGAGAGATTGGCTTCAAGAGTTCAACTCGTCAGCCGCGTGCAGCCACGCTTGCTACGCAAGTTGGGGCGACCTTTCGGCCGCAGCTGATTCTGACGAGCTTGCGCCGACAACCGCCGAGATAAAAATGTAAAAAAAAACCTGCGGGTGGTGGGTACACTTGTGGAAGCCTGGCGTGCCCAGTCATTGAAGGGCCGAGCGCTGCAAAGACATCAGGCCGCACGTGTGTGTTCAGCTCTCGCCCAGGCCGGCCGCGGCGGGCGCGTCCAGCTTCCAGGATGATAGCCGGGCCCCCGTGGGGCAAGAGAAGTTTGAGCTGCCGACCGGCACGAAGCCAACCAGACGCATGGCGGGGACCCCCCCCCCTCCTCCTCCTCCTCCTCCTCCTCCTCCTCCCTCCTCCTCCTCCTCCCCTCCTCCTCCTCCTCCTCCTCCTCCTCCTCCTCCTCCTCCTCCTCCTCCTCCTCCTCCTCCTCCTCCTCCTCTCCTCCTCCTCCTCCTCTCCTCCTCCTCCTCCTCCCTCCTCCTCCTCCTCCTCCTCCTCCTCCTCCTCCTCCTCCTCCTCCTCCTCCTCCTCCTCCTCCTCCTCCTCTCTCCTCCTCCTCCTCCTCCTCCTCCTCCTCCTCCTCCTCCTCCTCCTCCTCCTCCTCCTCCTCCTCCTCCTCCTCCTCCTCCTCCTCCTCCTCCTCCTTCCTCCTCCTCCTCCTCCTCCTCCTCCTCCTCCTCCTCCTCCTCCTCCTCCTCCTCCTCCTCCTCCTCCTCCTCCTCCTCCTCCTCCTCCTCCTCCTCCTCCTCCTCCTCCTCCTCCTCCTCCTCCTCCTCCTCCTCCTCCTCCTCCTCCTCCTCCTCCTCCTCCTCCTCCTCCTCCTCCTCCTCCTCCTCCTCCTCCTCCTCCTCCTCCTCCTCCTCCTCCTCCTCCTCCTCCTCCTCCTCCTCCTCCTCCTCCTCCTCCTCCTCCTCCTCCTCCTCCTCCCCTCTCCTCCTCCTCCTCCTCCTCCTCCTCCTCCTCCTCCTCCTCCTCCTCCTCCTCCTCCACTCCTCCTCCTCCTCCTCCTCCTCCTCCTCCTCCTCCTCCTCCTCCTCCTCCTCCTCCGGCGGGGGCAGCTGGGCCGTGGCTGGAGCCCCCTTGGAGGCACGGCGTGCGCCAGTGGGCGGGCCAGCGCCAGTGCGCGGGCAGCAGCAGCAGCAGCAGCAGCAGCGGCAGCAGCAGCAGCAGCAGCAGCAGGTGCTCCAAGGAGGAGCGGGAGCAGCAGCAGCAGCAGCAGCAGCAGCAGCAGCCGCAAGGAGCCGCAGGAGGAGGGTGCTGAAGAGAACAGCGCGGGCTGGGGGACGGACAAGAGCCCCCTTTCGCAAGACGCGGTTACGTGAAAGCGACCCCGGGCCCTAACCTGGCGGGCGCAAGCCTGGAAAATCACCGCCGCGGCGCCCTCTCGAGAGCCGAGAACGGACAACTCACGAATCGACGTGTCAGGGTGGGGGTTCCGTCCACCCCCGAGCGGTGGAGAGAGAAGAGGGACTCCTCCTCCTCCTCCTCCTCCTCCTCCTCCTCCGAAGTCTCCCGTTTCCACGGGAGACTTCGGAACAGAAGGGTGCCCGAGTCCCCCGCCGCTCGAGAAGCATACTGTCATCAATGGTTCCAGCGTGTCTGAAGGGGCCCTGGGACACACAAATAAATACACACAAATAAAAGGATTCCCCATACTTTTCATAGTTTCTGGGTTATTGTCTTCCCCCCACCTTACCATATTTTCCACATTTTCTGGGGAATCGACGATTAATTGTGTCTGTGTGTGTTTTTCCCTCCTGAGTGTCGATCTGGGGGATGCTCCACATCCGAATGATCAGGCGCGCAATACCGGCTGAAAGCGGAGCGGAAGCACAGAAGAAACTCAACCAATCTAAGAAGAACAAGAGCTGCGATTATATGCGCTAGTGTTGAAGAAGTGCCGTGGCCACTCCAGCGCACGGGGCGGGCGACAACGTCGCAAGGCGAACGCTGCGCTCCAGAGGCGGATGGCCTGATCCAGTTCTGCTCCCCAGGCGGCCACGCAGAACCGTGCGATCAGGGGCGCATGAGCTGGAGATCGTCGCATAGGACGCAGAAGGCCATACTAGCACCATGCGCCCTCTTTGAAGGTGCCCGCCCGAACCGAACGTGCAGCACAAGCATATTGCTTTGTATGGCTCCCCGAGCGGCATGGACCAAAAGCGCCCGCCACGGAGCTTGCAGTACAAGATGTCTCGGCGCGCGCAGCGCCCCTCCTCCTCCTCCTCCTCCTCCTCCTCCTCCTCCTCCTCCTCGTCCTCCTCCTCCTCCTGGGTGGGGGGGGCGACGCGTGCATAGCTTAGTATGCCGGGGTGGCGCCGATCGCACACGGTCTGACCACCGATCCCTCGAGCAGTCCTGTGGAAGCGGCACGCGCACGGCGAATCTTCCTGCTGGGAGCGCGGGTGGCAAAGGAAGACGAAGCGGCGCACCACCAGAATGAGTGGGACGACGGCCACGGGAAACAGCAACGATGAAACAATGAACCATTCGAGCTCGTTTTGGACAAGCATGGAGACGGTTGCCAAGACGACGATGTAGTGTGTTCGTATATCATGCGAAGCACGGACATGGACGTGAACAGGAGGGTGCATAATGCAGCAGATGCGTGCGAGGGTTGGGGCGAAGAGAGAGGGCCAAGCGCTTACGTCGAATGCGGCATCGGGCCCTGCGCTACCAGCCTTGATCGTGGAGGCAAAACCGCGCTTACTCGACACATCGTTCGTCCGTTCCCCCCGGCTGTTCGTCGACCTCCCCGACGTCCCCGACCTCACCGACCTCCTCGTGCTGCTCGACTGAAGTGTCCGACTCTGGAGACCCTGAACCCGCGAAAAACTTGCCATCACCTGGAGGGGGCACACATCTATTTCCGCCAGCTTCCGACGGCCTGCTGCTGAGTTCCGCCGGCGGAGCCGCCCCCGCTTTGCGCCCGCTGGCTCCCGCCGCCCTTCCACCGCAGAAGAGACCGGCAACTCCTCGATCCTTCGGAGGCACAAATGAATTCTGGGGACGGCTGGGGTGACCGCTCCGCGCTCGCGCTAGGGTGGAGGTGTTGACTAAGGAACCACTGGACAAAGAACCGAAAGTCAGGAAGCCCGTGGAACTCCAATCGTGGAGCGACCGTGGATATCGCTGCCGCCCCCAACAGATAAGGAATCCCCCAGGGTCTGACGCCTCCTGGGCACATTCCTGAGCCAACGCCCCCCTCCTCGTGCCTCTCCTCTTGGGCGCAGCCGGTGAAGGTCCCTGGAGCCGCTCTGCCACGAGCAGCCACGTCGCGCCCTGCCGCGCCACAGAACGCTCAACTCATCGGATCGGAACGAGGGAACGAGAGGGGGAGGAGGAGGAGGGGGAAGACGAGGAGGAGGAGGAGGAGGAGGAGGAGGAGGAGGAGGAGGAGGAGGAGGAGGGGGAGGAGGAGGAGAAGGAGGAGGAGGAGGAGAAGGAGGGGGGGAGGAGGAGGAGGAGGGGGAGGAGGAGGAGGAGGAGGAGGAGGAGGAGGAGAAGGAGGAGGAGGAAGAGGAGGATGGACGCAACAAGCTCGGTTCTTCATGTCCGATCAACGTCAAACAAAAAAGAGGAGGAGGAGGAGGAGGAGGAGGAGGAGGAGGAGGAGGCGCCCCAGCATTGGGACCGAAGGCGGGCTCTCCGAAGGATGATGTCCACCGCTTCCTTTCTGCAGCACTTTGTAGAGCAGGCCGGAGGATAGCTTCACAACGCCCTCCTCTAGTGCCTTCGCGGCCGTCGTCTGCCGTACCCACCGTTGCCAACGTTCACACTCGTGCTCTCGCAGCGCTCAGAAGAGCAGACAGACCAGGTGTCATACATGAAACATGCTGGAAAAGCGGGTCACTCTGTATATACCTACATACAAATGAATATATCTCTGTGTTCCTCTCATTCACTCTATCTATACTGTGTATCTATATGTGTATCTCAATGTGTATATATACGAGTCAACAACAAAACTGCACAAGACGAGGAACGTCTAGAGCCGGGCACGCCCAACCACGGAGCCATTGGCTCGCCGGGCAGGGCCACGAGCTAAGGCATGTGAGTGGCCGAGGCGTCGGGCCGATCTTCTCCGTACTTTGCCGGCCTCGTCGAGCTCAGCCACGCGCGCTGCAGGGAGCGGCGGGTACTGGGGCCACCGTGCCTCTGGGCACGGAGTCGGCGCGAGCCTCAGTCCGCAGTCCTGACGAGCCAACGAGGGGCGCGGACCCCAAATGTCAAACTCTTCGTGGCCTTGGCGCGTGCCCCCATAGGGCTTGTCGCGGCCTCTCGCGTGACTTCTTCGGGCCCACGAGGGCCCCAAGACGGGGCAAGAGGGCCCCAAGAGACCCCAAAGACGGACCAAGAGAAGCCCGAGACACTGAAAGAATCTCCCCAAGACGCCGAAGATGACCTCAAGACGGCCGAAGAGGCCGCCAAAACGCCCCAAGAGAGCTCCGAGATGCCTCACAAGAGAGCCCCGAGAGGCAAAATTCATTGATTGTCCACTGGATGTTGAAGGATTCGGGCGTTGACGCCCTTTCGGCTTTCGGACGCTCCAAGACGGCCCACGAGGCCTCCAAGACCGCCCCAAGACGGCCCAAGAGGCTTCCAAGAGGGCCGCAAGACGGCCCAAAAGGGTTCCCAGGACGGCCCAAGAGAGCCGCAAGACAGCCCAAGCAACCCCAAGATGACTTTGAGAGGGGCCTAAGAGGGGGACTAAAACATAAATTTCGAGCTTTCCGCCCCGAGAGAGCTCAAGGAGGTCCCAAGAAAGCTGCAAGAGGCCTCGAGCGACCTCCAGGAGCCCGAAAAAGGCCACTAGAGACCTCCAAGAGAGCCAAAAAAGGCCCCGAGTGGCCCCTAAACGACCGCCAGGAGGCCTCAAACTGTTTCCCAGAGGCCGCCGAGAGGCCGACCACTGGTACCACTTGAGGAGCACAGACGACACGCCTGAAGTGAGACTTGGCCGGTACCACAGGAGGACATACAGACGACATGCCTCAAGCGGTACCCAGTCGGCTGCGTCGCCCCGCTCGCTCTGTCTTCTCCTTGCCATAGTTCTACGGACCACGGCTCGGGCGCCCAGCTGAGAATCAGATGCATGCTTTACACTTCAGGGTGCCCTTCTTCTCGTCTCGCGCGATACTGCTGCTGTCAACGGAGAACGCCGACCTCGGCAATTTCTTCAGGCATCCGCCGCTGCACGGATACGCCTGCCAACTGCGCACCGTGAAACCCAGGCTCCTGCAACCCCCGTACACCGCGCGAAGCGGCTTCATCTTCAGATCATGCTCCACTTGCCCCTTCTTCAAATCTTTCGCGTCCGAGAGCGCTTCCCCGCACTCCGCGCACGTCAACGGCTTTGCCTCCGCTTCTGCTTTTCGTTTGCGACTGTTCGGCTCCCGCTTGACCTTCTAAGGCTCCTCTCCCACATGGGCCAGCCCGGCTCCCAGCAGCGCTCCCCGCACACGCAACCGCCGTGCGCCCGCAGGGCCGCCAGGGCGCACATGGAGACTTCCCAGAGGCTCGCCACAAGCGGATGGCCCAGTATTGCCCCTGCCCCTGGTTCAACGGGTCGGCGGATGTGACGTAAGCCTTTCGAATAATTGTTTCTTGAAGGATTTGGGCGTTCTCGCCTTTTCGTCTTCCCGGCGCTCACAGACGCCCCTAGAGGCCCCAAAGATCTCCCCAAGACGGCCCAAGAGGCTTCCAAGAGGGCCCCATAACGTACAAAGAGGACCCCAAAACAGCCCAAAGATGCGCCCAAAACGGCCTAGGAGGGTCCCAGGACGGCCCCACAAGGGGCCCGAAGAGGGAACACGAACCGAAAATCCGAGCCTTCCGCCCCAAGAGGCCCCGAGGAGGCCCCAAGAGGCGCCCGGAGGCCCCAAGAGGCCCCCAAGAGGCCCCCAAGAGGCACTCAGGGGCCCCCAAACTGCCTCCAAGAGGCCCCCGAGAAGCCTCCCACGAGATCCCAACGAACAGCCAACAAGTTTCATACCCGCAACCCAGGCACGGTGGCGGGATGGACCGAAGGTCATATATATATATATATATATATATATATATATATATAGATATATGTGCGTGTGTACACGTAGCATGTATAGTATATACAAGTGTGCATGCATAGCTATGTGCATTTACACACACACACACATATATATACACACAAGATTTTACCGGCTCGCTTCGCTTCGCCTTTAAAATCTTGGTCGCATGGCGTCAACGATGTTGGCGTCGACCCGTAGTCGCACGCACCGCGGTCGGGTTGGGCAATGAACCCATGGGGCCCATGGGGCCCGCAGGGCTGGTACGGTCCACTGGGTCCTTTGGCGCAATGGGCTGGTAAGCTCTTTGCTGTGACTCGGGCTTAGAAATTCGGGGCGGAATGTGAAGAAGGGGAACTTCGGGGCGCATGGGGCGCACAGAGCCTGCAGGGGTCGTAGGGCTCATGGGGCTCATGGGGCTAATAGGTCTCGTAGGGGTCATGGCGCTCATAGGCCTCATAGAACTCATAGGGCACATGGGGCTGATAAGGCTCATTGGGCGCATAAAGCCACCAAAAAAACTCATAGAGCTCATAGGGCTCAGAGGGATCATGGGTCTCTCAGGACTAGTAAAGCTCAGAACGCTCGTGGGCCTCAAAAGGCTCATGGGGCTCATAAGGCTCATCCGGCTTGTAGGGCTCTTAGGGCTTGTAGGGTCCATAGGGCTCGTACGCCATAGGGTTCATAAGGGCTCATAGGTCTCGTATGTCTCAAGAAGGGTCATGGGGGTCAGTGGGCCCACAGGGCTCATCGGGCTCGCAAGGTTCATAAGGCTCATCGGTTTCATAGGGTGCATGGGGCTCATAGGGCTCATAGGGCCCATGTGGCTCATAAGGCCCATAGGGTTCATGGTGCTCATAGGGTTCGTAGGGCTCATGAGGCTCGTAAAACTCTCAGGGCTCATAGGGCTCATCAGGGGCATCGGGCCCATAGGGCTCACAGTGCCCCTAGGTCTCATAGGGCTAGCACAGAATAGGGCTCACAGGAGGTCATAGGGCTCATGGGGCCCATAGGGCTCATTGGTCTCATAGGGCATAGGGCCGGCTCGTAATAGTGCGCATAGGGCTCATAGGGCTCGTAGGGCTCATAGGGCTCAGCGGGCCCTTAGGGCTTATGGGGCTTGTAGGGCTCGCAGGGATCGTAAGGCTCATGGGGTTCACGGGCTCGCGGGGCTCACGCGGTCTCATTCTGCCGCGCCCACTGGACGTGCGGGAGCAAAGACGCCAGTGACGCCGGAAGAGACGGGAGGCATTTTTGGCACCGACGCGCAGGAAGCGATCACGCGCGGGATAGGGCTCACAGGGGGTCATAGGGCTCATGGGGCGCGTGGAGGAGAGTCACAGGTGGGGAGGGAAGGTGAAGGTGGAGGTGACTCACAGGAGGACGCACTGGTGGAGGGAAGGCGGAGGTGCAGGGGAGAGGGCCGTCGTCGATGAAACGTACCTCCACATCGAGGTCGCGGGTTGCGATGGCAACCAGGGCTGCCTGTGGGGCGTTGAGGGCCGTCTTGGGAAATCTCTGGCGTTTCTTGAGCCGTCCTGGGCGTTGTGGAAGCCCAGAGCACGAATGAGGTAGAAGCCTGTCTATTTCCGAAGGGTGTTAATGATTGGAGCTTTCTGGGGCCGCCTGGGAGACCTTTGGATCCGGTGTTACACCGTTTGGGGGGTTTTCATGGGGGTCCCTTGTTTTTTGGGGGGCCACTCGGGAGCTTGAGACCTGTTGGTGGCTTCTGGGGAGAGCCTGGAGACTCTCGGGGGCCTCTTGGGCCGTCTTCCCCCTTTTGGGATTCTGTTGGGGCTGTCGTGGGGCCTCCTGGGCTCGTCCTGGGCGCCTCTTGGGCCGTCTTGAGGTTGTCTTGGGGCGTCCTGGGGCTGTCGTTGGGACTTCTTGTGCCTCATCTGGGCGGTTTCGGGGGTCATTGGTGCCGTCATGGTGCGTCAGGAAGCCGAGAAAGCGAAAACGGCAAATCCTTCAAAAACCATAGAAAATTAAAGAATATTGCCTCTCGGAGGCTTGTTGGGACGCCTCTCTGAAGTCTCTTGGGACCTCTTGGGAGCCTCTTGGCCCGTCTGTGGTCCCTCTGTGAACGCTCTTGGGCCGTCCTGGAGCGGTCTTGGGCCGTCTCGGGTCTCCTTGGGACCGTCCGGGAAGCGTTCGTAGATTGGGCCGAGCGGCGTAGGGTGGCCTGGAGGGGATCCGAATCCGAACATTCGACTTTCTCGTCCGGGGGGGCGAATTTATGCACGGGGGGGGGGCAGGGGGGCGGGGTTTTCCTTATAAGAATATTCGAGAAGGGATATGAATATATATATATATATATATATATATATATATATATATATAAATATATGCTATCCCCCCCCCCGTTAGGGACCTGCCGTTTTTGTTTGTTTCTGGTTGTCGCGCCGTAAACCCGCCGCTGCTGAGATCACGATGGCAGCCGAACAGGATTCTAAACATATTCCAATATGATTTAAACAGGTTCGATGAGCTGGATATGCCTTTTAGGCTTGATCGGAAAAACACTATGACCCACATCGGAACGGAGCATCGGTCAGAGCCAAATGGTTATTATCGAGCCCGAAGAACACCCCAACAAGACCTTCACGAGAAAACCCGCGATGACGTGATGCCGCGTTCATGACAACGTAGCACAGAATATGCAATGGCGCGGTGGCGGTGACATGATTGGTTCGCAAGCAGTGCGCCCCGTCTGGGTTCCAGACATCATTGGCATTCGTTTTGAACTGCCTACCGATATCCGTAGGAGCACGCAACGGAAACATCCATGACATAATCCCCACACAGTGCAGGCGCACTAACCCAAGCCGACCCCACACGTCTGCCGCGGCAGACTATGCATACGGTACATTGCGCTAAATATGTTGCACTATGCGCACCGAATTGGCTCAATGGTCGTCGTCACTGTGCCAACATAGAACCCCCGCGTAATGGGTCGCGCTGCCCCTGTCTAACCCAGAACGCCCGCCGCGGGCCGATCACGCCACCAGCACGTCGCGCGTGATGTGCTGCACCATCTCCCCCGTCTTGGCCCACATGTCGTCGTCCTTGTGCCAGTAGTCGTACTGGGCCGAGCGGATCTTCGTGGCGAGCAGCTTGGTGCCTGCCTTGGCGGTGGCGCTCCTGTGCAGGCGGTCCTTGATGCAGCGCCACGCACGGACAATGATCTGGGTGCCGCTCTTGACTTTGAGGTGCTTGCCCGATGGGAGCACGTGCGTCTGCAGCTCGACGCACCTGGGAGGAATCAGCACCCTCTCGCCGCCGACTTTCTTGTACTTCTTCTGGTGGACAACGAAGTCGTGGATGGCACCTGGCACGCGTAATTTGTAGGAACGCGCCGAGTCAGCGTGAAAGACGACGTCGCGGTCTTTCAGCCAGCGCTCCGCCAGAGTTTCCACTCTACCTCGCGCACGGGCCCAGGGCCGGGCGCCCGCTTCTCCGCCATCTCGGGGCACAGTCTCGTAAGTGTCAGCGCGCGCGGCCTGCCGCGCTGCACAATGCCCAACCACTGCTCCCACATGACGGGGTGAGTTGGGTCTCCCAGAGGCTCGGGCCCGTCGGTCCTGTCCAGCTTGTCGAAGGTCGCCTCGTCAGCCTCCACGTCTGCCCACACCTTCGACCCACTATATTCAATGGTCGGCTCCACGTCCTCCACGTACATCCTCCGCGCCTGCTCCACGTTACTCCAGATCCGCCCCACTGCCTTGTGGTTGACGCCGAACATGACGCGGGCGTTCGCGTGGGAGGTCCCCGCGAGCTTCGCCAGTAGAAGCACTGCCTGCTTCTGCAAGCTCTCGGCGCGCGAGCGCTCGCTGGAGATGGGGTTCAAGTAGACAGGGGGCACGTACCTGTGAAGAGCATTACGCCCAGCGTTTTAGAGTATTACACTCATCCTCCTAGAGCCTTGCGCTCTTCTCCCCTACTGCTAAGAGCAAGGGCATTACGCCCTGCTGTGGCTCCTCCCCTATCATCCTCATCCTGAATAGGCATTGCGCCTTTGACTACACCCTGGGTATTACACCCGTTTGAAGAGCATTGCGCTCTGATTTTTTTGAGTATTACACTCCAAAGTAGTGCGCCCTGCTGGTTATCCTCCTGTCGTAGCCTCTCCTCCATCAGCCCGCGCGCGGGTGGCCTGCCTGTGGGCGGTGGCGGGCGGGGGTGGGGGGTTCCTCCTCCTCCTTATCCTCCTGCTCCTCCTCCTCCTTCTCCTCCTCCTCCGCCTCCTGGTCGTCACCCCCATACAATAACTAAAGAGGAGGCTCCCGCCTGATAGATCCCAACAATAACTGAAGAGGAGGCTCCCGCCTGAGAGATTCTCCAATCAACTCTCTGATGAGGAGGCTCCCGCCAGAGAGGTTACTACGGCGAGGGCATTGGAAAGGAATCATTGGATATGAAATCCAGGGTTTGGAAGCCGGCGGAGCTCCAATTGTGGATGGGCCGTGGATGTCGCCACCGCCCTCATCGGATGAGGAATCCCCCAAGGCCTGATGCCTCCTGAGCACATTCCTTAACCAACGCCCCCGACGTAATCACAGTCTCTGAGGGGGCAACTTCGCCTGAAAGGTCCAACAAAAAATAGCAAACTGCTCCTCCTTGTCCTCCTCCATCCTCTCGACTGGACTTCGTCCTGGGACTCCTGACTCCTGACTCCTCCTCCCTCTCTCTCGTCCTCCTCCTCCTCCTGCTGCTGCTCCTCCTCCTGCACATAATGGTCGTAACTCTCCTCATCATCATCGTCAACATCATCATCATAATCAGCATAATCATCATCATGTTCGTAATCATCATCATCATCACCATCGTCATCATCACCATCACCAACATCAGCATCAACATCATCATCAACACAATCAGCATCACCATAGTCATCCGCAACATCAGCATCATCAGCAGTACCATATTCATAATCATCTTCTCCGTCATCATCACCATAATGTTCGTCATCCTCGTCTTCGCCATGTCCATGAGGGTCTTGCATGAGAGGTCCCCAAAACATGTGAGGAGGAAGAGGCTCCCGCCTGAGAGGCCCCCAACAAACGTCAGGATGAAGAGGCTCCCGCCTGAGAGGTCCCAAAAAACGCGAGGAGGAAGAGGCTCCCGCCTGAGAGGTCCCCAAAACAACGTGAGGAGGAAGAGGCTACCGCCTGAGAGGTCCCAAAAAACGCGCAGAGGAAGATGCTCCCGCCTGAGAGGTCCCCAAAAAACTCTCTTGGGAGGAGGCTACCGCCTGAGAGGTCCCAAAAAAAAGCAAACAAGAGGAGGCCCCCGCCTGAGAGGCCCCAAACAAAACCAAAAGAAACCCAAACACCATGCCTCTCATCCCTGTAACTATCCCAAAAAAACACACACACAAAAAAGTTCCAGAGGAGATGGCGGCCCTCGTCAATGCATCTGGGGCAGCGACGTCCGTTCTCCTCTGGAACTTTGGGTGTTTGGTGTTTCTTGTGACAGTTACAAGGATGAGAAGCATGGTGTTTGGGTTTCTTCTGGTTTTTTGGGGACCTCTCAGGCGGGAGCATCCTCCTGTTTGGTTGTTTGGTGACCTCTCAAGCGGAAGCCTCCTCCCAAGAGAGTTTTTTGGGTACCTCTCAGGCGGGAGCCTCCATTTGACTCTGTTTTTTTGGGACCTCTCAGGCGGGAGCCTCTTCCTCCTCACGTTTCTTTGGGACCTCTCAGGCGGGAGCCTCTTCCTCTTCGCGTTTGTTTGGAACCTCCCAGGCGGGAGCCTCTTCCTCCTCACGTCTTTTTGGGACCTCTCAGGCGGGAGCCTCTTCCTCTTCGCGTTGTTTGGGGACCTCTCAAGCGGTAGCCTCTTCCTCTTCACGTTGTTTGGGGACCTCTCAGGCGGGAGCCTCTTCCTCTTCGCGTTTTTGTTGGGACCTCTCAGGCGAGAGCCGATTCCTCTCACGCTTCTTCTCCCCATCTTTCTCCTCCTCCTCCTCCTCCGCCTCCTCCTCATCAACTTCCTTTTGTGTCTACGTCTTCGCATGCATGGACGACAAAGGAGAAGCAAAGAAGGAATGCGACGATAGTGAGGTAGGTCCCCAAGGGGGGGGGTACCATATATATATATATATATATATATATATGTGTGTGTGTGTGTCTGCCTGCCTGCCTGCCTGCCTGCCTGCCTGCCTGTCGTTCTGCCTGCCTGCCTGTCTGTTTGTCTGTTGGTCTGCCTGTGTGTATGTAGGTGTACGTATGTTTGTAGTTATGTATGAATGAATGTATGAATGTGTGTATATGCATGTGTGTACGTATGCAAATATGCATGCGTGTATGTGTTTGTGTGTATGTGTGTATGTGTGTATGTTTGTTTATTTATGTATGTATGATTATGTATATATGTATGTATGTATGTATGCATGCATGCATGTATGTATATATGTTTGTATGTATGTATGTATGTATGGATGTATGTATGTATGAATGTATGTGTGTATGTATGTATGTATGTATGCATGCATGCATGTATGTATGTATGTATGTATGTATGTATGTAAACATGTATATATGTATGGATGGATGGATGTATGTATGTATGTTTGTATGTATGTGTGTATGTATGCACGCATGCATGTATGAATGACTGTATGCATGTATGGATGGATGGATGGATGGATGGAAGGATGGATAGATGTATGGATGTATGGATGTATGGATCTATGGATGTATGTATGCATGTATGTATGGATGTACGCATGTCCGTATACAGAGAGGGAGGGACAAATAAACAATATGATGCAGGAGACTGAAGAGAGGAAGAGAGAGAGAGAGAGACAGAGACAGAAGGGGAAAACACAAACCAACAACAGAAACGGTTAGAACAGCAGAAAAAGAAAGGCAGAGACACGCCACTGCCCGCCGCCACGTCGTCCGCCTCGCCCGCAATCCTCACGTGCGGGTAGGCCCGTCCACATCCGCCGGCCACCGCAAAAGCCTAGTCATGTACGACCTTGGTGTGGCTCTGCCCCAGCCTGGTCCAGGACTGGCCGTGGGCAGAGCCAAGCCCGCAGAAGGCGACGAGAATGCCCTCCGTAAAACAAATCAAAAACTCCCCCCCCCCTCTCCGCAAATTCTCGGCGGCGAGCCCGGGGGAAGTGAGAAGGGGCAGGCCTTCGCAGGAGGCTCGGAAGTCCCCCCGCCTTCTGAGAAGCTCTCCAAGCCTTCCCCGACGGCACAGAACATGTCCCACAAGGCCGGAGGGCTTCTGAGAAGCCCCGGCACCTTCTGAGAGGGCCTCCTCCTTGACACTTCCCTTCTCGCTCGCCGCCGAAATTCGGCGTGCCCTCCCGCCGAACAGTCTGCAGCAGTGCCTTCTGCTCCACGAAGGCCCTGTTGGCTGCCCTGTCGGCTTGCCGCAGCTCCGTCCAGACGTACCAGCTGGCAGCTCCTGGCTATGGCACCAAGCCGAGAGCGAGCTCGAACGATTAAACGAGGACGAGGAGGAGGTGGAGGGGAGGAAGCGTCTCGGAAAGGTAGGAAGGTGAACGCACCAAACGCTTGGCATTGAAGTGGTTATGCCATCGAAATCGAATTCGCAGCCTCTCTAGCCTTGATCCTGACTGCAAGCGCAGGAGGAGGAGCAGGACGAGCAGGAGGAGGAGGAGGAGGAGCAGGAGGAGGAGGAGGAGCAGGAGGAGGCGGAGGAGGAGCAGGAGGAGGAAGAGCAGGAGCACGAGGAGGAGGAGCAGGAGCAGGAGGGGCGAGGACAAGAAGCAGGACGAGCATGAGCAGGAGGAGGAAGGAGG